GTATGAAGGTTTCTCTGAAGTTGAGATGAACTTCCCAAAAGACAAATTACGAATAACAGCTCTTTCGTCTTCTTCGAGAGCATTCATCACAGTCCTTATCCCATTGGAAGGACCATAAGAGGTAACCCTAATTCCGACCGGTTCTTCTCCTTCAGCGAACATCTTTGGCGGTAACTTTGGTGTTTCCCCCATCTACACGGTTTCTCCTGTGAACAGGACAAAGGATTTGTAACTTGCATGTCTTTCTAAAGAATTTGCAAGCAATCCCTTTACATAAACACGAATCGAGACATGGCGAACTCTTACACTTACCTCTGCCTGGTCTTTAATTTGCCAACCGTCGATTTGGCCGAAATTCTAGTCTACAACTCGGAAACTCTTTCGGAAAAGCAAAATCAACAAAACTCAGTCTGCGTTTTTCAATCTCACAGCAAAAAGATGTCTCTCTAACTTTCTTTTTTGTTTTTCCTTTAAATATTTAATTCAGTTTTTTCCCTTCGCGAATAACTATGGCCATATTTTACTTTAGTATTTAGTTTTCAACAACGAAAACAGTACCTTATATACATACACAATTTCGTATATATCTCCCAATTCAAAATAGATTTGTTCAAGATTTTCTTCTGACAACTCAATACAAACATCCTACGGTTTGGCCACATCTCCTATACACAATAATAGGGCCAAGGTCGGCATAAACAAAAATGCACAATTATTTGCACAGTTCTATTGCCAATTTACCAATTACGGTATAATTGGTTGCTACTGAGTGCAAATTCTCTTTTACCATATAATAATAGTCTTTTGACAAACTTATCTTTCTCGAGATCAATTTCTTTGTTAACAATGCGACATCATATGTACATGCACAATACTTAACATACTTACTATCTACCTTCAAGTTAGAAAACAACAAACATATTTTTCAAACTAATCGATTCTACTTACAAACTAAAACCATACATATCTAATCTTAGAACATATTATATACAACACAAACGAAAGCTAAGTATAGTTTACAATATATATAATGAATGTTCCGCACAAAGTGCAGGTTAGCTTTTATAAACAGATAGTAAATTCATGGTTTTTTTTTGTCAACATTTATATATTGTTTGGGCGGCATTCGAATTCATCGTATGTGATGTTGTAAATCTTTTTTTTTTTGGTCAAACCACTGTGAAATCTATTTGTTCAAAATCTTGAGTAGATATCGTTTTCTTATTATTAAATACTATATGAGAATGTTATAATTCTTTACATTATTGTTTAGAATGTTATACTCCCTCTATTTATAATTATTTACATAAACACAAAATCAAAAGAGTGGTCTTTCGTTCACAGGTTTACGCATCATTTTTTTTTTTTTTGCGGGGGAGATTAGCCTTCCAGGAGTTGTTTCCTCTCGACCTCGATGAATTGTTTGTTAAGATGGTAGCTTTTGGTGGCATTTTGGGTCTCATTCTCTCCTTTGCATTGCAGCAACTGCAACTGGAGACTCCTAACAAGCTCATTTAGCCTCTGTATATGTCTCTCTTGCGATATGATGATCTGTAAAAAGAGTGAATATTGCAGTTAGAGTTAACGTTCCCCTGTGAACAACAAAATAGAGAAACCAAGCCGGAGAAAGAAATACGAAAAAGGCTAGATTTTGTAGATGGTCAAATCAGACTGAAATACTGAAATATCCTATCAGCAGATGAACTAAACATTTTTCTGAAACCAACCTGAATGCATTATTATAAAGATGGAAACTCATAAGCCCAGAACTCATATCATGTTGAGTCCCAAAAGCTTTGTTCTACCTAACCTCCTCCAAATTCTTGAACTTGTACCTACTACAAGTGTAGTCGAAGTATAAATGAAACGTGTGATCCTAGCTTGCTACTCATTCGTGACCCACAGAAATAAAAGATAGCCTCAGTACAGGAAGGTGTAGATTACTACGAGAGAAATTGGTAGAGAATACAATGAGGTCAGGACTTAAGTGGAAACCTGAACTTAAACATGTGCTACTGCTCAATGAATATTCAATTGGATTCTTATGGTACCCAAATGTAAGATTAAAGAAGTTATCTCTTATAGATTTTCCACTTCTAACAATTATTTTATGCATGAAGCGATCCAAGCAAACAATTGAACATAATTTCAAACAAGAGAAAAAGACAGGAAATCCAATCCAAGAAAACGTTTAAAATTGCAGAAAGACCCATTAAGGATAATCAATGCAAAGAATAAAGTCAATCAAGAAAAACAACAAATACCAAGGTAATCAAGATAATTTCTCAGACAACATATCCCCGATGCAAACATATACTACATCTTAAGTACAACGCCAAGCAACAGATACATGAAGGTGAAACCTCATTATCAAGACACTAAGGTAACACACTACACATGCACACTCCTTCTGATGTTGACATCTAGCTAGGCCATCCCAAAACAATTTTATGAATTTTCCATCAGCTAAAAAGTTGGTCTTCTAAAGAGATGGAATAAGTACCTTCTCTTTCACAGCTTCTTCCCTGTCTAAAATCTGCTGCTGTTTCTGAGACAAGCTGGTGGCTGCATCTAGTTCAACAAGTGGTTGTCTCCATTCAAACTGAGAGGTGACTATAAGCATGACTAGTAGAAAGACGAGCAGGATAGGTTTGGACATTGTTATTAAAGTAGTTTAAAACACCTGCACCAAGAAATTAGCCAATTCATAATCCTATACACAATAGACCAACTCCTTCAAGCCTCTACCCAGGATCGAAACTGATAATGTGATTGGATTCACTAAGCAAATTAACTGTTTCTAGGCAAAACAAAAAAAAGGATCAATAAACTCAATTTCAATTACTAAAAAAAAAAGGAAAAGAAAACCCATCATCACATTTATAGACCTAAAGAGTTTCTATAATCTGCAACTACAAATGTCAAGCAAATAGCAGATTAAGTAAGACCTACCCAGTTAGGGCTAGAAGAGACCATTACGCATCAACCTCTAAAACCAAAAATTCCCTTTCTTTTAGTTCTAACCATTTCCAAAGCACCCACACTAGCGAAGACCACAACGAGGTGATTAAGATGGTCTTCAACTTACAGATCGAATCTGACGAGAGGAATAACCAGACTTCATGATCCGGAATGGTAAAATTGAACCAGATCTTCAAAATCGGATTCGAGATCACGGCGCAATCAGAAACAGCTCCTCGACGAGTTTGTGTGTGACCAGAGAAATGCAAAGCTGAGAGGTTCAATTGATGAATGCGCAAAATCTTTTTTCCTTTGCAAGAGAAAGATAACTAATATTTCAGATGACCCCACAATTTCTCTGCTTCTTCTTCTCATTAGCTTTAATTTTGGAAATAACCCAAGCACCCCAAAAAGTTTGATGTATTTCTCTATTAATTTAGGAGATTTTGATAAATATCCTCGATACTATCTATGGTCTTTTAACAAAACAAAAAGGGAAGGGGAAACGTGAGATCCACGCGCTCTGTATTTCTCTCCCAAGGGTCAAGGGTCGAAGAGAAGTTTCACGTCCGATTCAACTCTGAGGTCTTCTCCGGCTCCGGCGCTTGCCGCCTAAGTCGCGAGAGGGCCTCCTTGGCTCGCTTAAGGTTTATATCTCTGCATCGATGTGTTTAGGTTTGCGTATCGGAGGGTGAAGTTCATGCTCGGAGACGCAAAGGCTCCTGTGCGGCGAGGCTTTGCGGTTGCTCGGCTGATCTTCTTGGTGAAGGCGTTGGTGGTTCATGCCAGCACTGCGATCTCCTTGGTGCCGTTGGATGGAGACCTCGTGTTCTTGGACTGGGCTCATGGGCTAGTCCCGTTTGGTTGGCCCTATGTTCGAAACTGGCTTCTCCTCTGATA